CCTTTAATCCCAGCACTCGGGAGACAGAGCCAGGTGGATCTCTGTGAGTTCGAGGCCAGCCTGGGCTACCAAGTGAGTCCCAGGAAAGGCGCAAAGCTACACAGAAGAAACCCTGTCTCGAAAAACCAATAAATAAATAAATAAATACATACATACATACATACATACATACATAAATAAATAAAACAAAAGACATGAGAGTAGGTAGAGGACTATTTGAAAAAGGACAAAAACTATAGGAGGAAGTATGAGAGGGTGGAGAAGGTAAAAGAGGAAGATAAGCATCATTAAGGTTCATTATTTCATAACTAAAAAGAAATGCCCCCAGAAAGACATATTTGGAAATTCCCTTGAAGAGGAAGTGGAAATCCAGCCCCTTCTAATCTCTCTTTGCTTCATGGCTGCCCAAAGGTAAGCAGCTTTCTGCCCACCAAGATGTCCTGACTCATCACAACCCTACAAGAACTGGAACAAACACTTTGAAACCATGAATAAAAACAATCTTCTTTGGGAGATGATCATTCCAGGTATCTTGTTACAGTAATGAAGGGTGAAATAATATACTACATATTAAAAATTACTAAATGGAGAGAGCGGGACGTCCGTCTTCGGGTCATAGCGATCGAGGTGTTGGTCACCCTGAGCGAAATAAAAATGGGTGATGTTGAGAAAGGCAAGAAGATTTTTGTTCAGAAGTGTGCCCAGTGCCACACTGTGGAAAAGGGAGGTAAGCATAAGACTGGACCAAATCTCCATGGTCTGTTAGGGAGGAAGACTGGTCAGGCCACTGGATTCTGGTACACAGATGCCAACAAGAACAAAGGCATCACCTGGGGAGAGAACACCCTGATGGAGTAGTTGGAGAATCCCAAAAAGTACATCCCTGGAACAAAAATGATCTTCGCTGGAATTAAGAAGAAGGGAGAAAGGGCAGACCTAATCTGATCTTAAAAAGGCTACTAATGAGTAATTCCACTGCCTTATTTATTACAAAACAAATGTCTCATGGCTTTTAATGTGTACCATAATTTAATACATACATCAAAATTCAGATCATGAATGGCTAACAATGTTTTTGTTGGGACGGTCCTGATTTAAGTAAAAATGACTTATAGTAAAGTGGATACGATCTTTCTAAAAAATAACAATTCCAGTCACTATCACAGCTCTCCCTTTCTCAAGATCAGATTGGACTTACTAAAGTTATACTTTCCACAAAGATGGGGTGTCACCTCAAACCTGTTGAATGGTTTTATATTTAAATTTATATAACTGGGAATATGGATATGTTTAAACACTGGGAAAATTCTGTCACTCTC